ATATATATATATATATATATATATATATATATATATATATATATATATATATGAGTCACCATGCATGAGAAACACAGGCAGCCCTTTCCACGCGAAATAAATCCAACAGCCAAATAAAGACATTTGCATCGCCAGAACGATGTATCTTCTTCTTTCCCAAACTAGAAGAAAGCTCTTCCACCGGCCGCTGGGTGTGTCATAAGGACTACATTTGCATTGCTAGCTTCATCAATTCATGGATAGTTAGCTAGATTATTACAAACTATTGCAGCATGAAGCATGTACAAAGAGTTCTAAAGGATCACATATCACATAACAACGGAGATCAAGAACACGAGACTGCGGTGCAACCATATCATGGCTGGCTGCCGTGATCAAAAGAGAATAGTACGTCTTGCAGGAGGCCATATTCAGGGAATTGGTGCTGCTGCAGAGCAGGCGGTAGGTTTGCCAGATACATGTTAGGGTTTGTGTTCCCTTGCTGGCAAGTATTGCTCAGTTGGGGCACTTGATGCATCATAAGGTCATGGTAGAAGCTCACCGGCATCGTCGTCGGAGGTGCCACTAGGTGTGTGCTCCCTCGCACTGCTGCGGGGCTCTGATGAGTATGTTTCCCTTCGTAAGTGGTCACCACGATCTTTGGGTCTTGGTAAGATCTCTCCACCCTCTTCTTCACCGGGCACTTCTGAGTCGTGCAGCGATAGTAGCTCCTGAGATCATTGATTTGGAGAAGCAAAAGAGATCATTGAGTGTGGTAAAGGGATTGATGGAAATGGTCGAGCCTCACAATTTGACTAACCTTGGATATGGGCTGTTCTTGACTGCTTTCTGGCCATACTTTCTCCAGCGATAGCCGTCTTCCAAATGATCAACCTCGCTTTTGGTCACGAAAGCGAAGGCAGGCTCCCTTTGCCGTTTCTCGGCTTTCTTCTTGGCTGTGCTCCTGCTCATTAGATTTCAAACCATTAGCTCCTGGAGGTTAGTGATCGTAATTGCATGCCAAAGAATGACATAAGGAGATGACTGACAGAATAAACGGAAAGAGACAAGATCTTCAGAGTTACGGATTCTTCCTAGCCAAAAAGCTTATCTCGTTAGAATAGGAAGGTGCAGATCCTAAAGTGAGAAAGAGGAGAAGGAACTTTTTTTGCTCGAAGGAAACCTAAAAATCTTGTTTCGTTAGGCAAAGGTGAGAAACCCTAGAAATTTTGTTAGGCAAGCTGATGGAACTTTTCTACCTCAATCTGCTACCTACAGAAACTGTTACGATCCAACAAAATCCGACCTTTGAAAAGATCAAAGAAACAAAGCAGGAAAGGAAAAAAAAAATGGAAAGAGAGCGGCCGTCCAACTTACAGTGTCTTCGGCTTATCACCTCCCTCCTCGTCTCCCTTGGCCTGTTTCTTCTGCTCCTCCCCCTGCTTCTTCTCATCCTTCTTGCACCGTTCTGCAGCTTCTTCGCCGGCGGCTTCAGTGGACGACGAGGAAATCGAAGAGTTAGGCGTCATCGGAGTCGCGCCTAAACTGCAACCCAACGAAGGTACCAAGCTCTTCCTACCATTGCCAACATCCACCATCAGTTCACGAGACGCCGTCCCACTGGAACGTAGAAACTTCGACGGCGCCGGACACGACAGACCGAGAGCTCTAGCTATCACACCGTAGTCCATGTTCGAGCCACGGAAAGCGTCGGTGAAGTTTACCAGCGGCGATTCCGCTTGCTGGTCGAAACCAAGCGAACCAGTGCCGTTCGCGTCGCCGCCTGCGGGCTTCTGGGGGAAGAGCGACGAGAGCTCGTCATGGAACGGGATGTGGTAGCGGTCCGCTTCCTCATGATCTCCGGGCATGACGAGCGCTTGTGGTGCAAAGAGGGGGCAGAAGGGGTGGAAGGAAGCGTAGACAACGAGCTACTTGTAATTATATAAATGATATTTACTTCTTTTTTTTTTTGTTTTCATTCATATATTCCGCTTATTTATTTTCCTGGCTTTTTATCGCTGATGAAAAACACATGGATGGGAAATGGAGAAGGGGATGGGGATGGAATCTTGCTCGGTCTGAGTAAGCCAACCGGGGGATATGAGTCAGCGACGAGGTAGGCAACATCGCCTACCGCGGATCACGGGAAGAGGGGCTAAAGAGAGGCAACGCGGCCAACGGACGCGCGTGACAGTGAGGGAGCACAGGCTTTTGACCGGCACTCAGCACATGGGCCCCGGTAGCTAGGGCCGGCCGCGTTGTTGTCATCGCCGTCCGTTCGATAAGCATCAGACGCAGGGTGGGAAACGTGCGAAGACTATTGTGGCTGCGGCAGTTGTTTGACCGAGTTGTCTTCACTCGCGTGAATGAGACATGAATCTACTTCGGTGGTTCGGAAATTGACGGTCAATTTTCGCTACGACTGCCTAAGATCGACGTTAATTTTGACTTTCTTTTTGACAATATTATATATATATATATATACATATATACACGTCAGATAGAGCATGAGTAAATGAAAATACATTTTGCTTTATCGCATCTTAATCAGCGAGCACCATTAAGCCACTATTTTTGACGTTGCGAACAAACCTCTCTCCCTCTTTCTGATGTGAAAGATAAAATAAATGTAGGCGGAATCACGTTTTAGTTAGACCATTTCGATAGTGAGACTCACAATTTTCGTTTTCTCTGTGAGACCCACAATTACAATATGCTTTTAGCTCAGATCTAAGTGTTTCTTCATGTTTTCCTCGCTCAGATCTAAGTGATTTATTAAATCAGATTTCCAATTTGATCACTTCCTTTCGGCAACAAATTCGAAATGCTATTTGCTCCAATGATGTCACTTGTGCATGTCTAAGAATCTCCTCCTTGTTGTTTGATTTATTTTGTAAATTGGCTTCTTATAAATAAAGTTTAAAGGCGTCAATCTGTCATCCTTATATTTTGATTTCAGTTGCTAATTTAAACATGGAGAGAACCATCATATTAACTTGAATGATTTGGTCCACTTCATTTTGATTGTACATGTATATTGTATTTCTGGTTGGACTCAGCTAAGATAATTCAAATATTCAAAATAATTAGGAATCAAAATTCATGTAACATTAATATATTCACATACCCAACAAACAAACCAATGCAAAATAAATAGGGTAAAAATTGTTTATCTTGATTCATATTTTGTTAGAATATCTGAAAATATATAAATATATATAGATTTTCATTTCTAAAACTTGTCTATATTGCATGAATGTCATGTGTAAAAGATATGGCGAGAGAAATAGAGGAAGAACTTTTATAATTTGTTCGGAACCACAGATATAATTCAATCGTTCTTTGTTTGACTTGTATTGTTTTGAACCCAAAAGAGGAATAGGACAACTGCGTCCTGTCATCGTTCCATTGTGGTCACCCGACCACAACAATGACCGACCGGCGACGGGCACAAAGGAGAAGCCAGCATTCATGTGACGGCAGGATGCAAGAAGAAGAAGGATACATACCGTGGTTTGTACTTCAAAACAAGGGGCGGGCGGTTGCTTAATCACTACGTCTGTGTTCTCAAGCTAAAGTTGTGCGAGGTGGCGTGAAAAAGGAGTGGGCGACAGGAAGAGGAGGAGCATGAGATTGTTGACTACATTGAGAAGGTGATGGGATCGGGTGGAATTTGGTTGATGGTTGGGAGTCGTCTCCATCGGAGAAGACCACGATAACACATGCCGAGGCCGTGAGACATGGACTGAGATGGACGGCTTCTCCAAAGCCAACACTGACCAAAATCAGCGGCTAAATTTCCACGTCTTCTCCAACGTGCTGGTGTCTGAGGTTTAGTAGCTACCGTTGAATCGACCCCTAATCACTGATTAATCATATCGCTGCACACAAATTTAATCTGAGGATCTCTGATTTGATGTAAAATGCAAAAAAAGATAATTGATTGCTATAACACTTACTGTTCATTTATTTGTTGTAAATAGTGCATGGGCTTTTCAGTGCTGAAGGAGTCCAACTTCTCGTGCGTCGGACTAACAACGATTGTTTAAATGTGGTCCAGATAACGATTCGAGAAGAGTTCTCTATAAACTTTAATAACCAAATATTTTTGTCGATTAAAATAAAGAAACTTTACCGTATGCCTACTACCTTCATGGAGATGATATCGAGAGAGAGAGAGAGCAAGGCCCGTTGTGCATACCTAAGCCGACCGGGTCCACAAGAAACCCGTGCAGACCGGACCGGTCTTCAACGGGACATCTGTTGCGCCCGATCGAATACCTGAGACGGAATGTTCGCAGGGGGGTTCAACTCGACCATTTTCCCTTCACGACCGGATCCCCGCAAGCCTCCGCCTCACGTCGACGGAGAGCTGGCCCTGCCCGATCGCTGCCAGCCCCTCCACCACCCCCAGCCGCACCCCGATAGAAGGTACGAAACCCCTCCCGACCATCTCCGCCAGCACCCGCGCCGCCGCCACCACTTCACCGCTCTTCAAACAACCCTCCGCCACGATCTCGTACGCCTCGAATCCCACAGCGCAACCCGCCCTCTCCAACAGCCTCAGTAGCTCCGCCCCCCGCCTGGCGTCGCCCTGCGCCCTCATCGCCGCCGCCACCCGGGCCACCGTCCCCTTCCTCGGCAGCATCCCCCTTCTCACCACCATCTCCACCAGGAGCTCCTCCGCCGCATCTCCGTCGATCGCCTCGATCACTTCGCAGTAGCTCCCGCTGTCCGGGTCGATCCCGGCAGTGGGCATTCCCCTGAGGACGGTGGCGGCCTCATCGGTCTCACCGGCGGCGCAGAGGGAGGAGATGAGGTAGTTGAGGGTGTTGAGGTCGGTTGGGCGGAAGCCGAGGGGGCGCATGGAGGATATAATCGCGACGACGGAGCAACGGCGGCGAAGGGCGAGCCAGTTGAGGGGGAGGGAGTGGCGGGTCTCCCGGGGAGGGGGGCGGCCAGATCGAAGGGCCGACTGAAGGACGGCGAGGGCGGCGGGGAAGAGGACGGAGGAGGGGGCAGGGCTAGGAATGGGGTTGGGGAGTGTGAAGGAGAGAAGAGCGGCGTAGGCGGGGTAAGGGAGGGAGCGGGGGCGGAGGGCAGCGAAGGATTGTAGGAGGTCGGCAACGGTGGCGGCGGCGAGGGTCGGGGGAAGGAGGGAGAGGTAGGAGAAGGGGTTAGGGTTAGGGTTGGAGCAGCTGGCGAGGAGGAGGTGAGGGATGTTGCGGTGGTCTCGTGACTCGATGGCAGCCCTGATGGAACACTTGGGAGGTGTTTCGATGAGGTCGGGGAAGGAGCTGCCGCAGAAGCGGCGGCGTTGTAGATGACGAAGCAAACTAGCTAGCTTTGCATGAGCCATTCTGCAATTTCGCCTTCCGCTCGAAGTTCCGAGTAACCTAGTCAGACTGCAACCAAATCGATTGATTTCGCTCTATATTCTTGGAGCTGATCTTGCTCCACTTAGCCTTGAGTGCATCTTAATCCAGCAGGGACTCCCACATCCCAATTACAAAAAATTACCTAGCAGAAATTGAAGATTATAATACGTTAAGGTTGGATTGACCATGGTTACTAAACCATCTGTTCCAGTTTAGCATAACCTGAAACCGAAACTAAATCGACAGAGGTCAGTTTTAGAATCCTGTGATCAAAGCTAAATTAAGGAAGGGTCTATGTTCCGTATTCCGATGTGAGTGACCACAATCTTAGGACAATTCCCGTAAATTTATTGGGTCAAACCAAAAAATTCTATGTCTCTCACAATGTAAAATAACAGACACAAATATTGTGCTACATGGTCTGCGATCTAACGGAGGTTGAACACCAACATGAACTGAAGATGATGAGTCTGATGGATAATACGCTTTGATATCTCAAGTGCATGCTTTGTCTTAAGCAACAATTCTTTGAGATAACCAAATTGGAGGCTGGAAAAGATATCACACAGTAAGATCAAGTTACTACAGACTTCTGAAAGTTGCAATATCTATGTCGACATGCCATAAGCTTCAGAAAATTTTATGCTTTTTGGTCAGACTGAAGAAAAGCAACTTCATTACCACTTCAAATGATATCGTCTTCTCCGAAATCTACTGCGTCGATGGTACAGGCAAAGAACAATGATAAGCATCGCAGACAGTACCTGTATGACCAACACCACCTTCAACCCTGCAAAAAAAAGATTCACATATCAAATGCCGTATACAAATTATAAATTGCTTTCCGTAGCATTAATGCCTTCGATAGCACATATTGGTACCTCGTAACTTCTGGATGAGATCCTCCCGATCAACCCTAATTTTCCTATCTTCTTCATTAGTGTCATCCAAATTGTTAGTTTCTGAAGTTGAATCATCAGTACTCTCTTCAGAAACATTCTGATCCTTGCGGCATGTGTTTGGACAGTGAACGCCACTATGATACTCGTCACTTCCATCACAACAGTCTAGAAATATTTATCATTAAGAAAGAGTTGCTGTGGATCAGATGCCTCAATAAATCGGCAGCTTTACATCATCACAAAACCAGCATCGAGAAATATGTGAGAAAGATGCTTTCAAGTTGCAAGAAGAAAGAATGTTCTTAAGTTTACTCACCACAGATATAATCATTCACCCGAGAAGAAAACACGAACTCAGGTTTAGCTCCTAAATTTCTGCAGTAGAATTTGCTTTCCGGGCAAGCAGAAGTTCCTGTAATACATAAACAAGATAGAGCCCAGTGGCATGGTAAGAAAAAGTGTTTAAATTTTGAGAAGAACATCAAATATAACAATCACCAAGAATTAAAAAATGATACTCCTCTATTTCATCGTGTCGGTGCACTGTTTTTTTTCCAACATTACAAAAATATGATGCATGCCAGTTTACGAAAAGATCACTGCTAAAATTGCCAACTTTTAAGCTCTTGATTGCTAAGAATCATTGATGTGTGGTCATTTTGAATCTGTAATCTTGTATCATCCTATGCCAGTTCATCCTATGTATCTGTAATCTTGTATCATCAAAGTAGCATGATGAATCACACAAATAACAGCTAAAACGTTCTAGAGAACAATCAACCGAACAGCACCCAAATCCAGGAGGAGAAAGAGGGCACCGGGTTCATCAGTTCCGTCAGGGCAATCGCAGAATCCGTCGTTCAGCCGGTCCTTGGTGAAAGTTCTGGAGCCGTCTCTGCAGCCGATCACCGGCCCTGCAAGGTACATCTCATCTGCAAGACCCCCAAAGCAACAAGAACGATTAAGATAAGTAGAGGACAGAGAAGCAGTCAGAAAACGGAGAGGAGAAACAAAAAAGGAGGGGAATAGCACCTTGTGGGGAGACGCCACGAAGAGGGGAAGCAGAGAGCAGCACAGAGGAGGATAGGGCGAGAACGGCGAAGCAGAGTAGGCAGCCGTCCGGCCTCGCCCCCATTAAGCTGATCCGCCCGACGCTAACCCTCTCCATGGACAGATCGGAGCTGTCTGCTGTGGAAGAAGGTGCGCATCAGAGCATCGAAGGCACGTCAGGGCCTTCCCCTGCCTTCCCACCACAATTTGGTCGCCGCAAGTCGCCGCGGATCGTCTTCGTTCTCGTCAGGACGGCGTATCGGCCCGTCTTGACTGGTGTTGACTCTACGACGTTGGCCCCACCGTAAACAAAAAAAGGAACCATTTCTGTATGCTACACGAATAGAGTATAAAGGAAGCGGCTTCGAAATTAAAGGATATATAAAAACGAAAAATAAACATATATTTTTAGATTAATAATGAATAAAATCAAATAAACAAAGACGAAAGAATTCCATCCTCTCTCGGCACTTTTACAATCAAATAAACAAATATTATTTTAAGATGGGAGTTTTGCTCTTATAATTAATTATTTAGAAATATAAAGCTGATAGGTCGGCTGTTTAGAGTCATCAGGTATTTTAATCTCTCTAATCCAATTAAAGAAAATTGGTACGAGTTAGAAAAACATGCCCCTGAGTGTGTAAATGTTAGTTGGGTTTATATTTGGATATAATAATAATTTTTCAGAGTCCTAGTAAATCCATTTAAATTGGATTCGTGAATCTTTTAATTATTTTTATAATTATTTAAATAAAAATAAATTATGTTCAAGTAATAAGATAATTATTTAGATATCATATATGGTTCTCTAACTAATGCGACATGTAATACGACTTTTAAATAATAAATTCATTTTATTATGGAAAAACCCGCTTCCTTCTTTTCTGGCTAATATTAGAATATTCGTAATTTTTTTAATGAAAAAATAGGCCAGTATTTGTACATTTCATTTCGTTTGGTTTATAAGCATATAAGAAACAGAAGAATTGCGGTTTTAATAGGCACCGTTGCGCGCATCATCAAAACAAACGGCATTCCATTATCTTCTTCTTTTTCTTCGTCTGCGGATCCACAACACAAACCCTCGTACTTGATTCCCTTCTCTGAGCCTTCCTCTCGCTCTCGCACGCTTCCTCGCTCTCTCTCGCAATGCCCACGACTCTCCCCGTGACGGCGTTCCGAAGCAAGTGGAGGTCACGGATCTGATTGCGGGGCGGTCGAAGGAGGAGACGGGGCAGGAAGAATGACGTATAGGGCAGACGACGACTACGATTACCTCTTCAAGGTGGTGCTCGTCGGCGACTCCGGCGTCGGGAAGTCGAACCTCCTCTCGCGGTTCACGCGGAACGAGTTCAGCAACGAGTCCAAGGCCACCATCGGCGTCGAGTTCGCCACGCGGAGCATCCGCATTGATGGCAAGGTCGTCAAGGCCCAGATTTGGGACACCGCCGGCCAAGAGAGGTCCGATCTCCTCCCTTTTTTTCCTTCTTTTTTATCATGATTAGTTTCGATCCAATCTCTCGAGGCTGAGGATCGCATCTTTTAGATCCCTGGCATGACTGCATTGTTTTGTTTCTCTGATGCCGCTTGTCATCGTTGGTAAAGGATCTCAGCATGGCCTAAGGAATTTAATCCCAGCACCCATTATTTCCTCTTGTTGCTTTAGGCATGCAAACCCAAGTCCTTGAACTCAATCTTCTTGATCACAGAACCGGACCTGATAATGAGTTTTGATATCAAATTACTTGATCATTCCTATTGATAGAAATGAAAACGAGAAACACAATTACCATTTTCGTTGGTTATGTCATGAAAATAAATTGGTGTTGGAATTTTCAAAGATAATTGGAATCCTACAATATATTTGGTTCACATGTCCAATCGAGTGATTTCAATTGCATTAGTGTCATAATAATGGTGATATAAGTTACATTGATTGATGATCAAATAAAATATTTTTTATTAGTCGCTAATGAAGATGTTACCTCAAAATGCTTTCAATTGATTTCATGATGGATAAAAGCACTAAGGATAAAATATTAAATATGACACTAAATATTTCGTGAATTAGGGTCTCTTGTCTAGCTTATATATAGTCCTATGACTATCCATCAAGGAATAAGCAGCCTTGAAGTTCCATAAGAGACTAATTTGTTTTTGAGTGCATCATTCAAGAAGTTCAGTGTTCTTCCATCCAAAAACTTTTTCTTGAACAATTATGATGGGAGGTACTTTTATTTTTCATTACATATTCAATTTATAGATTATTTTTCACTAACATTAATGGTATTAGAGTCATGCTTCATTCATGTTGTTCATCAAAACAATGTGTTTAGCTTGGGACAAGGATCCATGCCATCGACCCAATTGATTTGTGATAAGCTAAACCAAGGCATTGAGGTTAGATTTCTCCATTCTCCTAGGTGTAATCAAAGTACTGAGGTAACCAAAAGAAAATGCCCCTCCTTAACCTCAAAAACATTATAGATTTCCCTCTTCACATCCCTACTCATGAATGCCTAGGAAAAATAATCTCAGATATAAACACATTTATTTTTTGATTGGTAAGAGTTTAAAAAAATACGATGCACATTCTGAGAAGAACTCTGGTTAGTACGAAAACATACAATGGTATCATCAGCATACAACAGGTGGCAAAACTTAAAAGACCGCTTAAAGCAAATAGGTATAATTGTATTTAAAAAAAAAGCATCATTAAGCAAAAAAAATAAAAGCTGAGACACATAAATATAGAGATAAAGGAAACTAGGATCACCTTCCTTCATTCTCTTATTCCCCCACAAAAAATTGAGACAGTTGACTGTTCAAAAGACATGCAAATGTTAGACAAGCTTTAATCCAAGAAACAAATTTATCCACAAAAATTGGTCAACCTCAAAATCGCCAAAATGGCCTGCCAAGAAACCCTATTGACCTTTTCAAATCCAATTTAAGCATGATATAAGGGTTTTGACCTTTGAAGTTATACAAGGAGTGAACAATTTTTTTGAATCACTAAAATATTATCATAAATAGATAGATTAAAAATAAAAGCATATTCTTCATGGAAAATGAAATGACCTTCTTGCTCCCATTCTGAGATCTCATATTTAAATGAACATAGCATATCAAACTTATCATTGCCTGGCACAAGTAAGCGGTTTTTTGTTTTATAATATTAGGTGAAGCTAGAAGAAAAGTGCTAAGGGCTGATCACGAGCTGTTGGTTTTCTTCTCTCTTCTTGATATCAGCCTCCAATTTTAAGTAGTTTGAATCATTTCAGGTGATGAACTTTGTATTGCAAAACAATGAGAAATTTAACATAGTACATTATGCGAGTGGAAGGAACCAAAGGGGCCAATATTTCACTTATCTGAAGACTCGCACGGGGCCAGGTTTCAATTATTTAATTTTTGCTGTGAGACTTGTAGGTCCAGAATACTAAACATTGATGAAATTGCCAAGATTGAAGATTAAAAGGTCTCTTCAGAACATCAGAGGCAAGCTAGCCTAAGATGAGAATTTTCTATTACTAAAATTTTGGGATATGGGCAGAATTTGAATGTTTTGTAAGAATCCTGCTGTCGGTGTGGAAATATACATTTTTTGCCTGGCTTTATGGAGTTTAACTGTGGAGAATTACTGCCAACAAAAATGGTAGATAGGTTGACACTTACCTTGAGTGAGATTTTCCTTTTGTTTTGATATCAGATAATGGCATCAATTTGAAAGCAGTTGTTGACATCAGGTTAAAAATGAGTAGGTAGTGTCTCTAGTTTTTAGGATATATCACAATTTGTCATAGATTCCTGGTAAAATGCTATAACCTTATTCAAAAGTACACATATTCTTCTTTTTCGGCGGGGTGAGGAAACAGTAAAATATAAACCTAGAAGTTTTGGTAAGTAGATGCACATATAGATAGAACACTGAGAAAGGCATGTCATAGATTGATACTATTTCTCCCAAAATTTCTAAATGTCATGCAGTGGAATCAAATGCTTATACTAGAATTTTTGTCTATTAATTTGCAACAAAAAGATGTTTTATTTTCTTTGTCATCGTCACAGTAGATAGGCGCAAAGAAAATGATTATAACTTTTTGTTAATAAAGTTTTTCTTAGCGCATCTATGAATAAAAGATTTTTAGTTGCTTTTTCTCTTGAAGAAATTAGATGTATAAAGCATTGATGGCTTGCAATATGGCTTGAAAGACTGGTTTTTGGAGAAAATTATTTTTTTCTGTGTAGTCAATAATTGATGTGAATTGAATAAATAAGAGTATGGAAGAGTTCTAATATCCTGTATGGCTATGTAAAGGTGTACCATATGTGACTACTGGATTTAGCAACTATGACGAGCAAGCAATTGAAGCAGATTCATAATGGATTTAGCAATTACATGAAAATTCTTGATCTATCAGAACAACTACCTATTACCCATTGTGTTCTTTCAATTTATAAGTGGATCTTATAGGCATGCAAGCTGTGGCTAACGTCTTGGTGGAGATACTGATTGTCTTGCATGACAAAATCTACATTGCACTTTTTCCTTTGTTGTTAATTTTTAAGCATCGCTGCATACTGAATTCTTTTTGTCTAACTGGTTGTCGTCTTCTACCCTTGACTATTTATCTGGAAAGAATTTTATGTTCTTGTGTTAGAAATGTTTTGTATCGATTAGCCTCTATGTTATTGTTTTATCAGCTTTTCCTGATCTGATCATCCCCTCATGATCAGTGTTGAGTGCTTCCATTTTACGAGTCTCATAAGATTGACCTGTTGCCTGCTTTCTTCCTGTTAAAACAGATATCGGGCAATTACGAGTGCTTATTATCGGGGAGCAGTAGGCGCACTTGTGGTCTATGACATAACTCGCAATGTGACATTTGAGAATGTGGAGAGATGGTTGAAGGAGCTCAGAGATCATACTGATACAAGCATTGTCATCATGCTTGTAGGAAATAAGGCAGATGTACGCCATCTCAGGGCTGCTACCACCGAGGACGCGACGGCTTTTGCTGAAAGGGAGAACACATTTTTCATGGAGACGTCTGCTCTGGAATCAACAAACGTGGAGGCGGCCTTCAATGAAGTGCTCACCCAAATATATCAGGTGGTCAGCAGGAAAGCACTCGAGGCAGGCAATGATTCAACAAGTTTGCCAAAGGGGCAGACGATCAACGTGGGCAAGGACGACGTTTCTGCTATTAAGAAGGTTCGTTGCTGCTCAACTTAGATCTACAAAATTGGATTGAATTT